GACCAGGATGGTCTCAATCTCTTGACCTCGTGATCCACCCGCCTCGGCCTCCCAAAGTGCTGGGATTACAGGCTTGAGCCACCGCGCCCGGCCAGAAGGGTAAAATTCTAAAGGAGGGTAAAGTATTCAAATGGAAACAAGAAGTGCATCCCTGATGCTATCCATCAGTTCTACAGTATGATTATAGCAACCAAGGCAAAGACAGTGAATCTCTCACTACCTTAGGATTACACCAACGTGTTGTCTGTCAACTAAATAATCTGTGACTACATGCTCATGAACTATATGGTATTAAAAAATATATCAGAGCACAATGAAATGCATCAATTATCAAAAACTATCAACAAGCATTTGTCCAATCATTTGTATCACAGAAATTAGACACGTTCCCAAAGTAGTGTAAAGTTAAACAAGTATAATAATACTATCCTAATAACCCTTTTATTTAAACATTAATTACCTTCACATATGGATTACTCTGAAGCAAAAATGCAGGAACTTGGAGTGTAAGGTATTCATTTTCCCTCCAGTTTAACATAAAGGCAACACACTCCTCAGCTATAACTTGACGAAGAGGAATATCTAAAAAGCAAAGAAGAAAACAGTTGGAATTACTAACACAACACTAAAGTAAGAACAAAGCAAATACTTGCCCAGAGTTCAATGGAATAAAAAAACTGGTCAGCTATTGTGACTCACACCTGCAATCCCAACACCTTGGAAGGCCAAGGCAGGAGGTTCACTTGAGGCCAAGAGTTTGAGAGCAGCCTGGGCAACAGAGCGAAACCTTGTCTCAAAACCAAACAAAATTTTGAAAACACAGGGTCTCGCTCTGTCGCCCAGTATGGCGTACAGTGGTGTCATCATGGTTCACTGCAGCCTTAACCTCCCAGGCTCAAGTGATCCTTCCATCTCAACCTCCCCAAGTAGCTGGGACCACAGGTCCCACCACACCTAATTTTTACATTTTTGTAGAGATGGGGTCTCATTACGTTGTCCAGGTTGGTCTCGAACTCCTGAGCTCAAGAGATCCACATGCCTCGGCCTCCCAAAGTGCTGAGATTTCAGGTGTGAATCACCATGCTTGGCTACAAAAAATGTTTTAAAAATTAACCAAGAGTGGTAACGTGCCCGTATTCAGGAGGCTGAGGCAGGAGGATCTCTGGAGCCTAAAAGTTTCAGGTTACAATGAGTTGCCAATATGACCATGCCAATGCAGCCGTCCTAGATGACAGAACAAGACTCTGTCTCAATCAGTCAATCAATAAAATTTGAAAACCAACAGCTACAGAAAAAATAAAAATAAAAAAAAACTAACATTTCACACATTTCTGCAAAATTTCCCAACAATAGATTGCACGTTCCCCCCATTAATCAACAAAATCACCTATTGTTAGGAGTCAACATTCCTTTGTGCAAATCTAAGAGTAGACACTTATCTTCCAGAAGTTTATCATTCAAGTGAGCAGACAACAATCACACAAATAAAACAAGTACAAAATAGTATGGAATAAACTTTCAGCACATTTACAGCAAAGTAGGTAAACCATATAATCAAACTGTAATAAAATCTGAGTTGACATATTTATCCTTTTTTCTGATTAAAATACTCATAAGAGACAAGTCATTCAACAAATATTTACTGCACCAGAAACAATTTTAGGTAAGTAATATGAAAAAAATAACCCAGGCTTATTTTGAACATTAGCTCCTTTGAAATAAATAATTGTTAAATATACCCTAATATATTGTGATTTTTTGTGGCTCAAAGTATGTAACATCAGGTTTTAATGCACTTCAGGAAAAAGGCAAAGAAACCAAAATGAATCCTGAATAACAACGTTAAGACTGAAAATGGGGAGATTTATTAAATGCCTCCTTTTCTAGGGTAACTATATTTCTCAGTTTTTCTAAAAAGATAGGGCCTATGACTATTTAACTCTCAACTTACTCCAAAAGAAAAAAAGATTTGACATAACAAAAAAGATGCATAAGAACATGGCAAAATAAAAATACATTATTTGCATCATCTTCTAAGGAAGGAACAGGCCAGGTGCGGTGGCTCATGCCTGTTATCCCAGCTACTAAGGAGGCTGAGACAGGAGAATCACGTGAACCCAGGAGGTGGAGGCTGCAGTGAGCCGAGATTGCGCCACTGTACTCCACCCTGGGTGACAGAGTAAGACTTCGTCTCCAAAAAAAAAGAAGAAATGAAGACAGTAATGAGATTAGTTCTCCAAATACATGCACACCATTGAGTTCTAAACATTTTGCCAAAAGGATTCCTTTCATCATCAGGCACTCTCACTCAAGGCTTCATCACCTGACACTCTGATTAGTAATACCAGCTGACTAGAGGAATAATTTTTTTTTTTTTTTTTTTTTTTTGAGGTGGCGTCTGGCTCTGTTGCCCAGGCTGGAGTGCAGTGGCGCCATCTCGGCTCACTGCAACCTCCACCTCCTGGGCTCAAGCGATTCTTCTGCCTCAACCTCCCGAGTAGCTGGGACAACAGGCACGTGCCACCACACCTGGCTAATTTTTGTAATTTTACTACAGATGGAATTTCACCATACTGATGTGCCCAGCCTAGAGGAATAATTCTTAAGGACGAATTAGAATCTAGAAACGGGTCCACGAGTTCAAGACCAGTGTGGGCAACATGGCGAAACCCCAACACTACAGAAAAATACAAAAACTAGCCAGTTGTGGTGGTGAACACCTGCAGTCCCAGCTACCAAGGGAGGCTGAGTTGGGAGCCTTGCTTGAGCCCAGGAGGTGGAGGGTGCACTCCAGCCGGAGGAATAGAAAGAAGCCCTGGCTCAAAAAAAATTAAAAATTGAAAAATTTTTTTAAAAAAGCATCTTACTTAGCTACAAAGGTATTAAAAGTCGAGGTCTCTCTCCAGACATATAATTGGTCTTAGAATAAATTTGTAGTCCCCTCATCCCACCTTTTTTTTGAGACAGGGTCTCACTCTGTCACCCCGGCTGGAGAGCAGTGGTGCCATCTCAGCTCGCTGCAGCCTCAATCTCCCTGGCTCAGACTATCTTCCTAACTCAGCCTCCCTAAGCCTCCATGATAGCTGGGACTCTAGGTACACACTACCATGCCCACGTAATTTCTGTATTTTTTGTAGAGACGAAGTCTCACTATGTTGCCCAGGGTGGTCTCAAACTAAAAAGTTGAATTTCTTGTCAGTTAAGATCACTTCCTGTTCCCGATAATAAAGCCAGATCAACCCATGTAAAAGAGTGCTTCCCTTTCTGTGTTCTACAGAGGGGTATGCATCTAATTCATCCAAAAATTGGCCTTCTATCACTAGGGAATTTTCTTTCTTAAAGGAGAGCAGAAAAGGTGGCAGATGATGCTCTCCATGGAGAGACCATGCCTATCAACCCTGATGCTTTCAGCGGTACCGGAGTACAGAGTTGTGAGAGCATCACAGCCACGAGGCTATGCCAGACTCAGATAGCTTAGTCCGTAATTGAGGCCTGATCAAAGTCAAAGACGAGAACCATACCTGTGGAAAAAGATCATGATCATTTTAGTCTTCTTCCTATTTGAAACAGCACCTTTCCTTCTTATTCGTTTTTTTTTTTTTTTGAGACTGAGTTTCACTCTTGTTGCCCAGGCTGGAGTGCAGTGGTATGACATCGGCTCATCACAACCTCTGCCTCCCAGGTTCAAGTGATTCTCCTGCCTCAGCCTCCCGAGTAGCTGGAATTACAGGCATGCACCACCACGCCTGGCTATTTTTGTATTTTTGGTAGAGACAGAATTTCTCCGTGTTAGCCATGCTGGTCTCGATCTCCTGGCCTCCAGTCATCTGCCCACCAAGGCCTCCCAAAGTGCTGGGATTACAGGCATAAGCCACCACACCCAGACTCCTTATTTTCGGTACTGTTTTTTTTTTAATTTTCGGCACTGTTTATAAGCACAAGCTACAGGACAAGTTGCTGAACATTTAATAAGTTAGGAGTTTACAAAAATTATAGGCAGCGCTATCAGTGCTTTACACTCCCTACGCCCAAAAAACTGATGTGAACTACAAACTGTTAAGCCGAAAAGGTAGTACAAAGACTAATTATTTAAAGGCATTTTCACCCATTTCAAAGAGTAAGAGCAAAGGCTTCAAAGGTGGGCTGATGGAGTAAAGTCATAGTTCTGTTTCTTCCTGTGTGACTGTGGGCAAATTCCTCAACCTCTCTGCACCTCGGTTTCTTAGTTATAAAATAGGGATAAGGAACTAGCAGCTGCTTCACGGAGCTGCTACAAGGACTAAATGAGTTATGTACCTAAAGCTTAGAACAATGCCTAACATGTAGTTAGCACTCAACAAACAGGGTTTAAACATTCTTTCTGATTTTAGAAAAACCCTGTATGAAAAACCTACCTCCTGGTTTTAAAAAGTAAACATGTATATATAAGCAGCATGTACGCTTTAGTGCCAGCATATTGTTAGATCAATTCTCATGAAGACATTACAACATTTAAGACCACTGATGTGTTAAAGGTCAAAGGTATTCTCTCTATAGGGTACTAAAAAGTTGGGATCTATGACTGCATGCCCCTGCTGGAAATTAGACTTTAATTAGAAATTAACCCAAAAGACTCAAGACGGTAGCACTTGTTTCTGCTCCAACACATTACTGGCACCTTCCTTTACGATGCAATTTCACTGTTTATTCTATTAAATGTGTACAGTATGATTTAATTACTCTAAATACTCCTAAAATAGAAAAGAAGCTGCTTTAAGAAAGATTTATATATGTCATAGATGATCATTTATATAGTAAGCCCCTTTTCACAATAAGACATTTACAATCAGAATTAAGCACCCAAGATCTGTTCCTAAAGTAGACACAGGTGAATTTCTAGCCCACTGGCAATCAGCGTGAGGGCATTTTGTGGCTGTAACGAGAAAATAAAACTTCAACCTGTACACTCAAGGACATTCTGATTCAAACACCGGAAAATTGCAATATAGTTTCTCTAGTGTGTAGAAGTATCCCCCAAAATTGGTGCGTACCTGGAACCTGAGAATGTGACCTTATTTGGAAACAGTCTTTGCAGATGTAATTAGATATGAGGAGGTCAGCTGGATTAGGGTGGAACCTAGATCTAATGACCGGTGTCCTTATAAGGAGAGAACATAGACATACACAGGGAGAAGGCCGTGTGAAGACAGCAGCAGAGACTGGAGCAATGCAGCCACAAACCAAAGATGGCTGGGCCACCAGAAGCTAGGAAGACGCAAAGCAAAGAGTCTTTCTTGGAGCCTCTGGGGGCAGCACAGCCCTGCAGACACTTCGACTTCAGACATCCGGCCTCCAGAACTGGGAGAGAATACATTTCTGTTGTTTTAAGTCACCGAGTTTGTGGTACCTTGTTACAGAAATCCCAGGGAATGAACAGTTTCCTTCATTTTTCCCAATGTTCTCAAGTGAACACCAAACCCAATTCTGTTTTGGGAGTGAAATAACTTTTTTTAAAGATGATAGACTCAAGTAAATGTTCTTTTAAATTTTCCCCCACAATTATTTGAGTACTGAGTTTCAGAAATTTGTCTTTGTGAAACAGTCTTACCAGGAAGCCTCATTTCCAGATAGCCTCGGACCCTACTAATGAGGTCAGATGGCGGTCTCTCTCCTGCCTGCCCTGTCCCAGCTTCGTGTGTATGAATATCCAAAAGCAACATCTCATTCAGCATGACCTGACGAAGCTTTGGTGAGAACTCTGTTACCAACTCCAAACAAGCAGCAAAGAGCTGTTTAGCATGGAAGAAGTCCTATGAAAAGAAACAGAACAGCCTGGGTCACCTTTCCTTTGGAACCAAAAAATGTGTGTCTTTATGATGACAGAGCAAAGAGAAAAAGGATTAATTCAAACAGTTAACGTTGCTTATCTCAGGTAGTGATGCTAGGCTCTCTTTTCATCATCGCTGTATTATTGATTTATTCCAATAAATATTTAATACCTTTGTAATTTAAAAAATCCAATAAACAATATAAAATACATGCTGTATGGTTAAACAAGTTTTATAAAAGTTATAAAATAACCAAAGACTTCCATATTTATATGGGTATAAAATTCTATTACAAGCACCCTTCTCCATCCAACATATTCAGAATTAGATCACAGACCATTCAAGGGTTGCACATTCTAAAATCTTCGCACACCACCCCACTAGCCTATAAAATTGGCTAACAAATCAAGTAAATTAAATCAGCTATGATCTAAGTCCTTTTCTACTCATCTCACTCACATGTTTCCAGAGACTAGATTCTATTTCTCCACATACTTCACTCCAATCATCTGGCTTCTACCCCCATCTTTACAAAGAAATAGCTCTCATAAGCCAAAGATCTTTTAATCGTCCAATCTACTGAACACTTGTCTGTTATCTCACAGGAATGAAGAGCTGCAACTCGGTGCTATGTATCATCCTTTTCCTGACATTTTCTTTTCCCCTAGCAATTACACCTTCTACATCTGTCTGCTCCTCACACCCATCACACCACTCTTTCCTGGACCTAGTGTTGCATTCCCTAGGGTCTCATGCTCTTTATATTCTCTCTGGGTGATCTTTGGTAACTCCCAAATCTGTAACTCCAGTCTAGACATTCTCCAAGCTTCAGGCTGTTTCCAACCATAGCCTCAAATTAAAATTGTAAACATAGACTCATTATCTGCTCTGCAAAAATGTGCTTCTGCACATTCACTTGCTGGCATTGTCACCTGCTCTGACTCCCAAACCAGAAGTCTGAGCATCACGCTCAATTCTTTCTGTCTCTTGCCTTCGAGATTAAATCAGTTACCAATTGCTTCCAGATTTTACCTCCTAAATATTTCGCTAATATGTTTTCTTCTGCCGGGCGCGGTGGCTCAAGCCTGTAATCCCAGCACTTTGGGAGGCCGAGGCGGGTGGATCACGAGGTCAAGAGATCGAGATCATCCTGGTCAACATGGTGAAACCCCGTCTCTACTAAAAATACAAAAAATTAGCTGGGCATGGTGGCGCGTGCCTGTAATCCCAGCTACTCAGGAGGCTGAGGCAGGAGAATTGCCTGAACCCAGAAGACGGAGGTTGCGGTGAGCCGAGATCGTGCCATTGCACTCCAGCCTGGGTAACAAGAGCAAAACTCCGTCTCAAAAAAAAAAAAAAAAAAAAATATGTTTTCTTCTATCCCTTCAAACACTTGGGACACTTACTAGCTGTGTGCCCTCGGAGAATGTAATACCTTTAAAACTGAGATCATACCTTTCACAAACTTTTCGTGAATAAATAACAGACGTCTTTGAAATTGCAGAACAGTCTCTGTGCCCAGTAAATGTTATGTTAGGTGTGGAAGGAGAAGAACTGCTAACTACATTCCCCCATTAAAACTTTTCAATGGCTTACAATTGTCTCATGATGCATTGTCCAATATGGCAGCCACTAGCTAGATGTGGCTGTTGAGCATGTGAAATGTGACCAGTCCAAATTGAGAGATTCTATAAAGTATAAAATACTTACTGGATTTGGAAGACTTAGCACATATATTTTTAAAAGAATGCAAAACATCTCAACTTTTTCTATCAATTACAGGTTGAAATGATAGTTTAGACATATTGAGTTATATAAATCATTTAAATCAACCTCACTTTATGAAATTATAGATTACATACATGGCCTACATTATGTTTCCACTGGACAATGTTGGTCTAGAGCAGCAGTTCTCAAACTTTAGAATGCAAACAAAATTACTTCGAGGGCTTATTTTAAAAGATGTTGTGCCCATCCCAGAATTTGATTCATTAGGTCTAGGATGGGGCCCCAGAATTTGTATTTCCAGCAAGTTCTGGCCATGTTTAGTGGCTCATGCCTGTAATGCTAGCACTTTGGGAGGCTGATGTGGAAGGGCTGTTTGAGCCCAGGAGTTCAAGACCAGCCTGGGCAATATAGTAAGACTCTGTCTCTACAAAAAAATTTTATTTCAAATAAGCTGGGCATGGTGGCACATGCCTGTGGTCCCAGCTACTTAGGGGGCTGAGGTGGGAAGATCGCTTGAGCCCAGGAAAGTTAAGGCTACATTGGGCCGTGATCGTGCCACTACACTGAGGTCTGGGTGACAGGGCAACACCCTGTCTCAAAATAAAAGTTACCAAATATCACAGATGCTGCTGGTGTGGGGACACAGATAACTTATTTAACCCTCAATTTTAGTTCATTTCTGCCTTCCAAATGCTGTCTTTAACCTTCCTACACAACTTAGTGTATCATCAGTCATGCAACTGCACTATTTTATATGATTTAAACATTCCACTTAAGTTTCAACATCCCAGACTGCAAACTCATGTAAAATACACTACAAAAGTAACTTTATACAATTTTGTTTTTTAATCTTGGTACACAATCTTTACTAACTGAATTCTACAAGTAATACCTTTGCATGTTCTCTAAATTTTTAAAAGGCACAGAGCAGTATCCATTTATTTGATCAAGATCATTTTAATTACAAGGGTAAAGGAAAAAGAACAAACCAGAATGCCTTTTCAAATATCCTTTTAGGCCATGAGTAATTTTAGAGATTAGGAAAAGTTAAGAATTTCTGGTTCCTGACTTCCTGCTAAAATTAGTAAAGCATATACTTTTTTTTTTTGAGATGGAGTATTGCTCTGCCACCCAGGTTGCAGTGCAGTGACATAATCTTAGCTCATTCTAACCTCCAACTCCCAAGAGATTCTCCTACTTCAGACTGCAGAGTAGCTGAGATTACCAGTACCCAGCTAATTTCTGTATTTTTACTAGAGACAGGGTTTCACCATGTTGCCCAGGCTAGTCTCGACCTCAATTGATCTGCCTGCCTCAGCCTCCCAAAGTGCCAGGATTACAGGTGTGAGCCCCGGCACCTGGCCATAAAGCATATTTTTCTACCCACCTTGGCCTCCCAAAGTGCTGGGATTACAGATGAGAGCCACCGCACCTGGCCCCATAAAGCATATTCTTAACAGGTGTTTGATACACACTTTTACTCACCTTAACAATACTGCAGTGCAAACCTTTGGCCATAAGAATATAAACCAAATCTCTTGTTAAATTGTCTTTAATTCCCAGGATAACACCACTATAGACAGAAGGTACTTCCCACTAAAAGAAACAAAAAAATACATATATACACACACACACAGAGAGAAAGCCAAATCTAGATAAGAATCTTTCAATAATCTTTAATCACACTAAAAAAAATAATTCATAGGTGGTCTCTTAAAAAGAAAGGAAAATGACAGCCATAATATAATGCTGACGAAAATGAACATTCACTACAATCAGTGCGTAATAATGGATTGGGACTTTCTGAAGGATTAGTTAGGAAAAAGACACAAAGACTAGGAGTTTTATATATATTAATTCAGGTAATCCTCACAATGATACTAAGGTAAGTACTATTATGCTACTATTATCGTTTTGCAAATAAGGAAACTGCAACACAAAGAAGTTAAATAGCTTGTTCAAGATTATACAGCTATTTAAGTATGAAGCTGACATTCAAACTAAAGCAGGCAGTTAATCCCAGAATGTCCTATAACAACTATTATGCTATACTCGTACATCTTTAAAATTTTTGGTTTTTGCTTTTTGAGACAGAGTCTCACTCTGTTGCCCATGCTGGAGTGCAGTGGTGTGCTCTCTGCTCACTTCAGCCTCTGCCTCCCAGATTCAAGTGATTCTCCTGCCTCAGCTTCTCAAGTAGCTGGAAATACAGGTGCACACCATCATGCCCGGTTAATTTTTGTTATTTTTAGTAGAGACAGGGTTTCACCATATTGGCTAGGCTGGTCTTCAACTCCCGGCCTCGGCCTCAAGTGATCCACCCACCTCAGCTCCCCAGAGTGCTGGGATTACACGAATGAACCACTGCATCTGCCCTCATCTTAAAAATTTACACTAATAAATAGCATCAATGCTAAAAAA